CAGGCCAGTTGGGCAGAGGGGCGCTCGCCCGGGAAAACCAGATAGCTCAAAAAAGAGGCAAGGATCGAAAAAAAAAAAAAAAAAAAGACTTCAGGCCAGGACTGCGCTTGGCCCAAGCACTCAGAATCCGGTCTAATTTCGGTTTTGGTTATGGGTCATCCAAGGGGGTTTGGGGGGTTATAAACACTGATTAAAAGGGCACATTTGGACTCATGTTTTCTCATTTATTTTTATCTCAAAACTAACAAGGATTTTTTTTTTTTTTTTTTTTTTTCTTTTCGAGAAACAAGGAATTTTGAGGTGTCCTTCAGCCAGAAGTTCTGCATAGGCCAGGACTGCGCTTGGCCTAAGCACTCAGAGGTACTGCAATTTTACACAACATATTCTTTTCCGGATTTTTTAGTTCGTTTTATTTTGCGTGGAACAAGCCCTCACGGGGCCCTATCAGACATCACATGTTCTGGGTAAAGGCCCGCAGCAATCCAAGTGCCCGCGGGCCTGAATATTCGTCGAAGGCCAAAATTCGACACTTTCATATGTGGGTATTCAGGCTCTTGCAGCAAGCCAGTTGGTTGAATGGACGTGTGAGCCTCACTAAGTTGCGTTGTACAGTTGGCTCAGGCCTTGACAGTTGCGCCTGGGCACATACACACAAAGCAGGGCCGATACATTGAGAAGCAGGCCATCGGGCTATGCAAAAGCAGTACTGTTGACGCACCTACCTGGGAGCCCTGCACAGATGCAGCAAACAGCCCAAGTCCGGAGACTCAGGCCGTGCCCAACTGTAAACTGGGCCCAAGCCCTCAACTGTAGTCTCGGGCCTGGGCGCAGGGACCGAGGTCCAACCGGAAGCTACTGGAAGCTTCCAGCCAGGCCACATGCAGCATCCAGGAGGCTGTCACTTCCATATAGGAAGTGAGCCAGCCCAGGCCAGGCATTCTGGCCTGTGTAGGCAATGTGGAAGTGCTGCTGCGCTACTGCTTGATGCTGCGCTGTGGCCAAGGGCGCTGACGGGGTGCATAGAGGTGAAGTGGGGCGCTGCAGGGCAGCGGGGCGCAAGAGGCCATAGCTGGGCTGCTGGGCGCCAGGGGATAAGAGGGCGATCTGGTGGTCTTCAGGGAAGGAGGCGAAGTGTGGGGTATCAAGGTCTGAAGAGGGTGACGAGAGACTTACGTGGTGCATGAAGAGAGGTCGGCTATGGTGTTGACATCATGTACATTGGTCTTCGAGAGTCGAAGTGAGCCTGTTGCGTGAACACAGCTGTAGGTAGGATAGGCGAGTAGAGTAGGCTGGGCGCTGGGCGCCAGACAGGAAGGAGCATAATGTGTTGGTGTGGCCCACGGGCTTGAACATTGGCTCATTACTTCATTGTATTGCTCTATTTGGATGGATTCTCGGTGCATTTGTGCTATCTGCTTGTACACGACTACTCAGACATCTGTGTGATTTCGCAACATGGTTTTCTGTTTATCGTTCACACTCAGATTCCTTGCAATTTTCTATTTTTTAGAATATTATGTGCTGGGATTGCCCGGGACCCTGCCCGGGAGGGTACCTGGGCGACCTTCCCCCAGTGACCTTCCCCCAGCCGTGCCGCCCAGTCACTGAGACAGTTAAAACATACATTCTAGAGTTTGTGTGACAAGTAGCAGCAGAATGATGACTGTTCGTCAGCTCCCTTCTTCCAGCAGATTTTCCCTCTTTCTGTTGTCCTGTTGTCTTCACGTTATTGCAGATCATTTCTCCTGCAGTTCCTGCGGAACTTCCCAAGCAGTGCTATCATGATTGATGATCAGCACCAGCTTCAAAATGGCGTGCCCATACCTCCCAGTCAGAGATAAAAGTGCTGGGGAAGAGGCTATGGGAAGAGAGACTCGGCCATTACCATTCCAAGATGGTTGAGTGAGTGAATGCTGTAGTTTTAAGTAATCAGCTCTTTTGAGCCGCTTTTGCAGGATGTTAATTTTTGTCGGCACCGTGCTTCGGAGAACCTGAGAATTGCCCTCGCTGCACTACTCTTGAATCTTGAGAAATCAAGAGTTCATCACCGCCGCACTAACTCTGGATGCGTCCTGAATTTCGATTCAAGAGCTCTCAGATTCACTCTCGAAGAAGTCGAGAGTGAGGCATCAGTGCACTAACTGTGGAAAAGTGCTCTTGGTCTGGTCCTTCAAGAGGTGTCAGAAACGGCCCATCGGACGAGCTCTTGAGGATTCCACAGTTCCCGCCTGCAGGGGCGTTTTTTTTTAAACGAGGCCGACCGGACCCTTCGTGTGGTTTGCAAATTCGAGAGTTGGCCTCCAGTCTTGGTGGACAAATTCTCTATCTTCTGTCCAGCAGTCAAGAATGCTCACGAGAGTCGAGAGGGCACTCGATGCCAATCCATGATTCTGACAGCGCTAGATGTACTATTGAAATTTTTCATGCATCTAGCGTAGTGCAGCGAGGCCCAATGCTGTAGCTCAAGTTATCAGTACTTCTGGGCCGCTTTTCCTGGACGTTGATCTCTGCCTCCACGGAGCTTTTTAGAACCTGAGAATGCTGTAGCTTAAGTAACGAGTACTTTTGAGCCGCTTTTTCCGGATGCTGATTTCTGCTGGCACCGAGCTTCATAGAACCTGCTTGGACAGGAACAAATGTTTTAGCTGACGCTGCCAGCCTAAAAGACGAACTGGTACCGGCCATGCTGGAACAAAGTAGCTGGGGGAAGTACTGGTGGATTAAACCACCAGTACCCCCGCCAGCCTAAGTTCGACTTCCCTGGCCTTACGGACCGGGTTCTTAGGGGGGGCGGCGACCGGCAGGCGCAGGCGGGTCTGGTCCAAGTATTTTCAAGGCCAACTTTTGTGATTTTTTTGCGCTCGGAAGAATTGATGAAAAAATCTGAAAATTTGAGATCCTGAAGATTAGGTTGTGATCTTTGCAGGAAAAATATCAAAAATATGAAAGAAAAAAAATTAGACCGTGAACTAAATGTTGTCCCATTTTGTAGCATTTTCCATTTTTGCCACTCTACCACGTGTGGGCCAACCGGCTGACCCCTGGCCGGTATCGCCCACCTTCTGTAACGCACCTGCTGGTGGGTGCAGCTCCCGAATGTTCCCCAGTTGGCGGCTTGAGCACGGATGTGGCTGCTACGGGGTTCCTGGTAATACTACAATGACAATAAAAAAGGCCTGAAAGGCCGTCCTGTCCAGATTCGACAGGTAATTGAATTGGTTGGGCTTAAAGAATTAGCCTTTAACCAAAAAAAAAAAAAAGGTACCCCAAAGGTCTGCAATTTTTTGCGCTCAGAAGGATAGTTCAACAACTCTGAAAATTTAAGGCTGCGTAGATTTTGTCCGAAATTTGTCATGATCTTTATAGGAAAATTATTAAAAAAAAGAGAAATATTTTAACTGCGAAATAAATTGTGGGGGCAATTCGATGCATTTTCGAATTTTGCCACTCTGCCACTCCCCCCCACTGTGCTGTCGGTGGCCCTCATGGACCTGTGATACCAGTCCCCGGAATTTATGACGGCGGGGGTAGTGGTGGTTTCAAACCACCACCACCTTTCTCAGTGTTGGGAAAAACGGGAATATATGTCACACCGAATTTTCCAGGGGTCCCCAGGAGGGTCGGCAGGGAACAAAAGAAAAAAGAAAAGACTGGAAGCCTACGGGCAATGGCTACGATCTGGACGTCCGGACCAGCATCCACGATCGATCAGGGCCCCCCAACATCTAGGCCGAACCCCAAAAACTGATTCAAAAGTTTTTAAGGCCAGTTTGCAATTTTCGTGTTTGTTGTTTCTGTTTTTTCTTTTTTCAAGTGTTTGCGTGTGTGCGTGCGTGTGTGTGTGTGTGGTGTGTGTGTGTGTGTGTTGTTTAGAAAATCTGAAAGAAGTCCCGGTGGAAAGAAAATTGAGACCCGCCCATTTCCCCAATTGACTGGCGATTGCCCAGTTCCTCCTTTCATCACTCTCATCACCACCTCCACCACCGGCAACGATCGCCAATCCATCACTGTTTCTCTCATCTAACCCTAGAGCCCACTCGTTCTTTTCAATCCTACACCCCACAACTCTCACTGTTACTCCCATTGTTATTCTTTGTACCATAACACCCCTCTCTTTCCCCCATTTAGCTGCGAGATTGGCCTGCACTAGACGGTAGGACATTCTGTTCAATCCTACTCCCTGTCAACTCTCACTGTGTTGTTTAGAAAATCTGAAAGAAGTAACTGTGGAAAGAAAATTGAGACCCGCCCATTTCCCCAATTGACTGGCGATTGCCCAATGCCTCCTTTCATCACTCTCATCACCACCTCCACCACCGGCAACGATCGCCAATCCATCACTGTTTCTCTCATCCAACCCTACAGCCCACTCGTTCTTTTCAATTCTACACCCGACAACTCTCACCGTTACTCCCATTGTTGTTCTTCTTACCATAACACCCCTCTCTTTCCCCCATTTAGCTGCGAGATTGGCCTGCACGAGACGGTAGGACATTCTTTTCAATCCTACTCCCTGTCAACTCTCACTGTGCCTTTGAAGCACCAGTGCACCACACATCGGCCTGCGGGTGTCAGCACGAAACCCGCACCACTTCAGACCCTGAGTTTTGCTTGTGTTCTGCAAGGCTGGGGCTGTGCTCTTGCGGTTTAAAGAACAAATGATATGAGTAGGGGATATCCAGCTAAAACTGGAAAGAAAGGTTACAATAGCTTCATCTTAGAGTCGCAATGCTTCACGTTTCCTTCCCATCACAACATATTGCGACATTTTCTCAAAGCCATGGCCACTTTCCCTGAAGTGGCACATGCAAACTCAACGTGATGACTTGCAAGAACGGGTTTCAAATACACGTATCAACCATTGATGAAACATAATGCAAAGTGAGTTTGTATTTCCTTTTAGACTACGGTCATGTTTTGAATATTTCTCTAATTCCACTGACTTTGAATTACTGTTTGGATGCCTTGTTGGACCATTTTGCGCTGTTCTTGATCTGCAGATTCCATACGTGGGACTTAATTTTGCAGTATATGAGACGTTGAAGGATTGGGTTGTGAAGAGCACGCCATCAGCGATTGATGCACAGGACCTGAGTGTGATAACAAGGCTAGCCTGTGGGGCTGTGGCTGGAACAGTGGGCCAAACCGTTGCATATCCGCTGGATGTAGTCCGCAGGAGAATGCAGATGTCTGGATGGCGAGACGCCTCAACTGTTCTCACTGCAGATGGGCAAATAAAGGTCCTAGAGTATAATGGGATGCTGGACACATTCCGAAAAACAGTAAAGTATGAAGGCTTCAGAGCATTGTACAAGGGACTCTTGCCGAATTCTGTCAAGGTTGGTTTAGCTGAACCGGCTTCCAAGTCCACCACTGGCATGCGAGGGTTGCCTAATCTGTAATCGTGCTGTGACTCTTGCAGTATGTATTGTGTCACATCACAGAGGTCTCCATTGAGTGCAGTAATTTGATGGGAGCATGTGATTGCTTCACTTGCAACCACACCGCGCGCCGCACTGTCCGCTGTGTCGTACATGGTCTGGTCCGGGACCTCCCTGTCCGCGGTACAGGCCCGTCCCATACGGTATGGGACCTCACGGGGTTGAGCACTGTTCAGTGCGGCCATCTCCCGTCTGGTGCGGTTCCGCATGCAAACTGTGCGGAGAGGTCTGCTCCCCCATCTGGTCCTGAGCGGAAGCTTTTTTTTTTTTTTCCTGCGGATCCACTGTTTGGCACAGTTGCTGGGTTCTTTCCCTGCGACCCCGTCTTCGTGTTAATGCTCATCATGGTGGCCCGCACACAAGTAGAACAGTAGAACAGAAGCCAGAAGCCAGGAAATCAGTTGTCCTGCATCCACTCTGAAAAATGTCCCCTATCCCCCTCCCC